GAGGCATCCCCCATAGGGATCTTACCTTGAGGTTCAGATGTTCCCCCGCAAGAACCCGGTCCTCGGCGAGAGAGAGTGGGAGGCGGCGGCCAGAGGTGCAGGTCCCCGCGTCTCACCAAGGGTCCCCCTGTTAATCCAAATAGACAAATAACCGTTGGATGGAAATGAATATCTCTCTCTCCCTTTCTCTTCCCTTCTCCCTCTTTCTCTCGGTCGGAATTGACCTAAATCCCTCACCTCTGACCCGCAGCTCCTCCACCTGTCTTTTATTTTCTCTTTTTGCTTCCAGATGGGGAGGGTGAGGAGGAGGGGTGGGCAGAGAACACAGACGCGGGCCGGTGCCGGGAGACACGCTCGAAGCTGCGTTCGCCCTTCCGGTCTCTCAATAATCAGGGGAGGTGTTAATGGTGGACTGGGCTGTAAGTGAACCTCATAAAGCCTAGAGCATCTTGAGGCTCAAGTGCCGCGCGGGCGCTGGAGTCCCGCGGCGCGCCCTGGGCTCTCGGGCCCCCAGCCTGCCTTTGCTTCCCTGAGCCTGTACCTAAAGAAGCCGCCGCCAGCTGGTGCAGGCAAAGACGGTGAATGGGCGGGAGCTCCTGCCGGGAGCTGGGCTAAGCCATTGATTGCTCACCCGCTACATCCCCGCCTTCCCCTCCCCGTCCTGCCTTCACTCTGAGCGCTCCTGTGAGGGGCGTCACTTTGGGCGCAGTCTACACTCGAGGGCGCTCCACGGGCTGTCGGGTCAGCGCGGGGGTGCGGTGGGGGTGGGTTTGAGGGTGGCAATTAACCCTCTGGGAGAAAACCTCAAACCCTGGGAGACTCGCGTTCGCGGAGTCTCAGCCAGACGCCCGGGCCCCCGGGAGTGGGCGAGCGCCTAGTTACCTGGTCTTGGGTTCGCGAGGGGCTGCGTCACCCTGGCCACCCCGGGCGCAGTCAGGTCGCGGGGAAAGGAAGGGAGAGCCAGTAGCGGGCCCCCTGGCCAATGATTTGCCCCTTCCCCTACCGGGTGCGCCCGTCACTGTCGGGGAGGGGGCCCGGGACTTCTGGGAGGCTCCCGCACCGGTGGAGGGGAAGGGTGTGTGAGCAGCGAGACCGGCCGCTCCTGGGCGCCTCTTCCCGGGATGGCGCTGCCCTCTCCATCCCCCGGCGCCATCATTGCGGATCCCTGCGGCTGCGTGGGCAGAGGGCGCGGTGGGCTGCGGACACCGCGCGCCTCCGAGCGGCCTGCGACAGCTGAGCGGGGTTAGGCTGAGGGACTTGGGGCTGTGCCAGGGCGGTGGCCTCTCCTCCCCGCCCATCAAGCTCCGCCACACAGTTTGAGTGTTGGTCAGGAATCGACCAGGAGCTGCGGATCCAAGTCTGCAGGCTCCTGCTTTCCACGCCAAATCCTGGACTGCGGTTCAGAGAGCCCTGGGGTAGAGTCCTTTGCCAGCCAATCCCACCGGTTTACCTTTTAACCGCCCTGATCCTCGACTTTCCCCTTCCCATCCCGGCCTCTTTGGCCCCTTCTCACTTCGAGACCCCCACCCCACCCCCCAGTCTCGGTCCGTTTTAGCAGCGAGAGAAGGGACAAGCGTTCGGGTTCCATTTCTAAGCTTGTCAGTGAGGCCAAGAATGGGTGGACGGCAATCCGGCTTAAAAACGCTTGGGTCCTCTCACTTATCCCTGTCCCAAGTAGTGGTTTTTGAAACCTGTTTTGAATCATGAACGATCTGAGGTATTTGATAAAATCATGCATTAGACACACACAGACACACACACATATACACACAGTGGCGCGCGCGCACTGAAGCTCACACTGAAGCTCACACTTTAGAATAAAAATTTTGGGTGGGAGGATGCGGTCATCACGGATTTCCAAATGCCTCTACAGTTCTCGATTCCTGGGTTAACTCTCTACTTTATGCCCACAGTCCCAGGAGAGAGGAACGTGAGTATAGGGGTCTTGTGTCACTGAGCCCAACCTCGAAACCGTTTAGGTGGGCGAGGGTCATCCCAAAGCCAGAGGGGTGCTCCTCAGGCAGCAGGGCATCAAAGGTTCAAGGTAGGCTTGGTGTCCCAGGAACAACCCAAGGTGGCATGTTCTTCCCTAACCTTATCTCAAATATCAGGATCCCCACAGAGTCTTGCAAGAGGGTGCTGACCGCACCCCCCCACACACACACACATACACTTACATATCTTACCACTGACTTTCTTTTTCTTTTTTTCTGGGGGAAGGGGGATACATTTTAATGTTTTAGTGTAGTAAGAAAGAAGCACCACGTTTTAAACCCTGCACCATGGACAGACGTCCAATTCACAGACTCAAGCCATTGATCCAATGCAGAGAAGATGAAATGGCAGGTGTGACGAGGAGTGGAGTCGGAAGTTCTAGGCTGGCCAAGGGCTGTGTGGTACGGAGGCCATAAGCCAACCTCCATCTGTCTGGTAGCCAGCTCTCCTCTCCCATCCCCCAGCCTTGTCTGGAGACGAATTCTAGCCCCCCGCCGGCTTCTGGCGGTGGAACGGTGTGTGTGGAACAGACTTTGCGAACGCCCTAGAAGGGGCGCTGTGTTGGAACAAAGACCCACGCCAGGCCGGTAAGCGCCTCCTATTCCCGGTTCCCAAACACACCCAGTTTGGAACCCCAGGTTTTACTCAAAAAAAAAAAGGAAACGCAAACGAAAAAAAAGAAAAGCCCTTTCTTGCTCCCCATAATCGGAGGGGTGGGTGCGATTTCTGAAGAGAGGGAATTGTGAACCGTGATCCACCTGCCGCGAGGGCTGCAGGGTCCTTCTCCAGCGAAGGGAAGAGCCAACACCGCAGGATGCCGTCCTCCCTTGTCCCCACGTACCTGCCCCTCCAAGTTTCCCCAGTTCCCGCTGGGTGGTTCCGTGTTAGAAACTCTCCTTTGATTTATGGCGCCTTGGGACACGAGGAGACTCCAGAAATCTTTAAAGTTGAGCAGCACCGGAGTTGATGTATATTGGAAAGTCACCATTTCTTGGCATCCACATGTTTGTATATACTCACCCAATAAGAAACCCGGATTTTTACTTTACAATGTGTGAATACAATATAGCTTAAAGCTCTTGCAGCGAGGCCCATTTTTGTGCCCATATCGTGTTTAATGTGGGAGCGCCCGCCCCGCAGCCACCCCTGACGTGTAGTTCACACGCGTCTCTCCAGAACCACAGCGGAGAACTTCAGACCTCCGCCCCCGGGCTCCAGGTGCAGGAAAAAGTAAGGACGGACCCCTCCCCGCCCTCCCAGCCCCCAGTGGCTCCTTTGCGCACGGGCTGTTGCCAGCAAGGCTTGAAGTTCTGCCAGAAGAATCACAATCACCCCCACCCCCACCCCCACCCCCACCATAAGGGTTCTCCGTGATGGATGGCCGGGGTCCTTTTTTCCTGGGCCAGTTCCTACTGTAAGAAGCGCACTGGGAGGAGGAAAGGGCAGCCTTTAGGAATCCTAAGAGGCATTCCGCGAGCTATTTCCACTTGCCTAGGGACTCTCTCAAAACTGCCGGACACCCTGCGCCCACTTTCAGAGTGAGCTTCCTTTCCTCCTCCCCTGGTTTCTCCAGAAAGGTGGCCTTTTAACGCTCCCTCCCTTTTTTTTTTTTTTCTCTCTCCTTCCTCCTGGGTTTTTTTAAGAAAACACTATGCAGCTCCTGCCCAGAAAATAGCCTTGGTAACCTTCAAACCTAGTTGAAAACATGGAGCTAATGGGTTGATTCTTTTCCTAAAGACAGAACAGCAACTGGCTCACAGGGGTCTATAGCCTTTCTGGAAAGGCTAACTGCCCCCAGGATCACAATGCTAGCCTCCTCACTTACCTCCCTCCTCACAATAATTTCTGGGTAGGACAATACCAGGCCAGAGAGACTGCTCTTTTACATCCCAGGAGGCTGTTGACACCTCACAGACCCCACCAGCCGTTTGCTTAGGGCACCATGGTTAGAGCACCAGCAAAACGGAGGCACCAAAAATGCCCACAATTTTTGGAAACAGTTTTGTATTTGACATTTTTAAAAAACAGAAGCCACAATCAAGGGGAAAATTAGAAACTTACTTGACTTGTTTTCACTTATTTCAGGGTTTAGAAAGGCTTTTATTTTGAATTGAAGCCTTGAATTTTATTTAAAGGTAGGCAACGGGACGTTTTCACTGCTTAAGATCTCTGAAGCCTTTATTCCGGCTGCGGGCAGAGCCTGGGGCAGATCCCTGAGGTGTTCAGAACTGCAGGATTCCACTGGGGGAAAATGCTCTGGGCAAAGACAGCCTTCCAAGTGGGCAGCGGCCTTGTTTTACTGCACAACTTCTACTGGCAAGGGAAGGGTTCGCTGGGTGGAACAGCTGTCCCTGGGGACTGCCATCCTCAGAAGGAAGCAGAGAAGAAGGTGTGGAAAGAACAGTTCTGGTAAGCTCCTGACCTGGGCTGGAGACGGATGCCCAGGGCAACACCGCAATGAATTGAGTAGGTGTGACATTAACAAGACACTGCAAGACAGATTTAACTGGGAAGTACCACAATAAATGGAGGAGGGAAAGGTGGGGGAGAGAAGGAAGAGTGGTCTACACCAGGCATCTTCACCAGCCTGAGTGATTTAGTCAGAATGATTTAAAGTTTTTATTGGGAGAACAGATGGAAGATGAGAACATTTCTTGACGCAGGATGGCACTGCTTGGGCACTCATATGCTACACAATATAGCATTATATCAATCTCTATATAGCTCAAGATATAAATAAAATGAAGAATGTATTCAAACTCTTCTAGTTGCCAGCAACCTCCCCTGGATAGATAACACTGGTGAGAGAACTGTAGGAGAATTTGAAGCTATAAGAAACATTAAGAGCTACTAATGTGACCTGAATGCTACTATTTATTTAACGGGACAGGCATTATTTTCTTTCTTCAACATATGTGTCTGATAATGAAGCACAAAAGAAAAGGAAATAACTATCAATGTGCCACTTTAGAAACACGCAAACACTTGCTAGCTCTTTTTATTTTATTGATGTTCTTTTAACATACGCATTTAAGATTAAACGGATGCTTAAGTATTAACAACTTGGACAGCAGTTCTGGATGAGGGTTTTAAGTTTTAAAAATACAGGTTGAATTATATGGAGAGGAGAGATGAAATTTGTTGTCAAACATAAAAATATGAATTGAATTGCTTCTTTTTAGATGGATCTTTAACATTGACTTGACCATATGGGCACTGCAGAAGAAATAAAACAAATTATTATTGAATTATTAAACAATCACCTTGAAAAAGTCTACTACTACTCATGGTGAAGAAAGAGAATCTTAATAATGTTATACAGATCATTTGATCTACAGAGTCCTTCAGACCCAGAGGAGAATAATGGCAACCTCGGGCAAATGGTCCTCATTAGGGTTCAAGAACCACTTCCTAAATGCATACTTCCAACTTCAAGTATTTTACTGTCAAAAACCCACCCTTAGAAAATCCCCAAGTCCTCAATTTACACAAAGCTCTTATGTATTTGATTAGAAACAGCTAATGGCACAGGTAAGAACATACACAACAATGAAGGCTTATGTTTTTTCAGTACTGCCTACAGTTGATAAATGTATTTAGTGTCAATTCCTTAACCATAAAGTGGGTCAGTTAAAGGAGACAACAATCTTCTCCTTGCCCAAAACACGCTTTCTTGTTCATGACTGATTCTTAGAACCGTGATACCTTTTCATAGATGCCTTTACAAAAAGGTAGTCACTGTTATCCACAGAAGCAAGAATATGAATTATTCTCATCTAAACAAAGTGCTCTTTAAACAGAGGTTGTTGTATGTTTATAATTTTATCCCTATAACCATTTTCCTTACCACTATGCCTTAAAAAAGTAACAGTTAAGAATCTTTTCCCATTAATTCTTTGCTCAAAATAGGCAAGGATTAGTTAATTCATCTTTATTAATGAATACAGAGACATGTATATTGAAATAGACATTTTAGGAAATGTACAGCATTAATTTTGGAATAATCTAGTTTCACAGTTATTTTAAAGACAGACTAGAAAAGAGTAAAAGAAAGACAGAGATAAGAAAAGAAAATCATTATTATCTAAAGGACACCCATCTCTCAATGCTCGGCAAATTTCAGCTGACAATGAAGAAAATACTTTCTGGGATCTAGTTTGCAACACTGTGGATTTCTTTTCCTGCCCTCTTTGTGCTTTGCCTAGTGAAACCTCATGAAAAGTTTCCTGGTAATAAGGAGCGCCCATGAATTTCAAATCACAGTATTTCCAGGAACTGATGCCCACAGTGAAATGTTACAAAATTCCATTAACTTTAAAGGTCCTATGTTGGCCCGAAGGACTTCATTGTCCTTGGCTAAACTAGCTTGTGAAAAGTGCACTCCAGGTCTATTTAGCTTTTTTATTTGACTTGTTTTTCAAATAATAGGTATTTACGAACTTAGAGAAGCACCGCAAGCTGCTGCTGTAATGCGAGAATTTGCTACTCACGTGTCTGCAGGCTGAGCCACAGCATTCACCTCTCTGCAAGTGGGCGAGCTGCGTGAACACCACAAAGCCAGTAGCTGGATCCACATAGTTTAACTGGCCAGCCTGAAGGGTAATAAAATGAAACCATTCATTAATCTCAATACTCATCATATCTCCTCACTGTAATGTCTACTCATAAAATACCATAAATGTTGTTTTAAAAAGTATTAAACTTCTTCCCTGCAATTTTAGCGGCCCTTGCAATTAAAGATTGAATGCATTCCGACTACGCACGATCCAACTTTATATGACATAAGGAGAAAACATACAGTTTGAGAAAAATGAGAAGCTGATGGAAAAACAAGAACTCTTCTATACCCAATAACTACGTAGCCACTGCTCTGGTATTTTTCATTCAGTTTCTAGGTAACAAGCTTAATAACAGGCGACTTACATGATTTTAAGAGCTTAAGAGGCTGAAAAGGAACTTTCACTCAGAAGTTGCAGTTGTAATTTCAGTACTTTAAATATGTGGATAATAATTTAAACTTACAGAAAACGTGCTAATCAAAACAACAGTCCTTATAGAAAAAGTATTACTTCTGGTATTGTTGAACACTTTTCTTTATATCCATTGCACATTTTACACTACTTTCTTTCTTTTTTTTTTTTTTGGAGTGTTGTTGGTTCTGTTTTTAAGCAAAAAAAAAAAAAAAGTATTGTTTTAACATACTAACACTCACTGGTTTCACAAGTTTGATCAAAAGCAACTTTCACAACATCAGTTCAGATTATCAAGGAAACATACTCTACCTACATTAAAAAAAAAAAAGCGTCCAAGTACTCTGTGTGAAGGTATAAATAAATACTCAACCTCCTCTGTTGTAGAGTTGGGCTATGTGGGTAATGTTACTTAGCCTTGAGTTTTTGTAGAGAAACTTTCTCCTAGGCCTTTTACATCACGGTTCACGCAGTGGTTAAGTGCATCACTAAGGTGCACTTTTCATGTAAATACACGTGTATAGAGCCTGTCATTTAAATACAGGTGGAATTTGCATGTCTTCTGATACACATTTTTGTATGTGCCAGGAACAACTTCTTGGGGCTGTCTTTTTTAATGGCTCAATATTTTATTCTGGTTGAGGGCTTAACCTTCTATGCTTCGTGAATAAAGTGTGGGGCAAAAGTATAGATACAAGTTCAAGTCTAGGTCCACTCTAAGGCATTCCAGCAAAAGCAAACCACGGCAGCAGAAATCCAGCAAGCAAGTCCCAAGGCTGGTCTAAGGAGCCCCACAAATCCTTTGGGATCACAGAAGCCGATTACGTGAAACCGGGAGCATTAAAAACACCACTTTAGAATGACCGATTGTTCAGACTTCATTTCTTTATTTACAAAGCCCGTGTTTGGAACTTGGAAGAAAAACAAAAACAAACACTGGGAGCTCTGTAGCTGCTTTCTTTTCACTTTACATAGCTTCTGGGAGTCTTCTGAGGGTAATTATCTGGCAACCAGGGAGCCGAACAGATCGCTCCTGCGCTTGCGCCTGCGCTCCGGCTTTCCGAGTTGATGGAGCACCTCTGAGCTTGTTGGCGGCCCACACAAACTTAATTTGTCCTCAGTAAATGAGCCTCGCGTAATGGTGGCAGCAAAGACGTGCAAGAGCGCTGACAGTTTGACTGGAGAGCAAGATGTTCAGTGATGCACATCAGCACCAGGGAGAAAGGTAAGAGTGCGATTTGCCTCCAGGCGTGGGAGAAGGGCCATTGTGAGGAGTCTGATTTGTTGAAAAAGAAAAATAAGCATGTTATTGGGTTTACTTAGGGTCTCCTGGACAGTCATGTAACCCGTGATGCTGACATTGATGAAACCACTGCGGACTCTGAGTGAGAAGAAAGTTCCTTTCCTTTCCCAGCCTGGCTGAACCTGTCCTTACATGCCACTGGTGTTGGCTCCCAAAACACAGAAACTGTCTGCTTATATCCAGAGTCAAACGTGAAGTATGGAAATTAATTGCACATGCCATTTTTTAAAAAGGAGAGTATAAACAAGAGCAATAGAAAGCTGCCAGTCATTTCCTGATGAAGCTTTATTCTCCTAAGAACTAGAATGGATCAGACAGTGGATTCTCAGGGCCTACTGTTAATGAAAAATAAGTCGACATTAGCTAACCTCCAAGGTTTTCTTCTCTACCCCTCCGGCTCAAGCCACACCAGGTAACACTAGTCCTCAAGTACTGGTTACACACACACACACACACACACACACACACCCCCACACCCCTTATCAAATAGGTTAATTTCATATCGGTTTTGTATCTCTATTATTGAATTTACTTATTCTCTGTGCGTCGCGTTTTCTTTTGTGAAGGTAATACAAATAAAAATACGCTACCTTTAAACTAAGGTGGGCTGGGGTGTTAGAAACTATGAAGGGATATGTAAGTTTAGATATTGGCGCTAAACAATTGTCAAATCCGCAAAACATTAGAAAACATAGTTCGATCGTGTCTGCGAAAACGTAAACACCTGATCAGTTTCCCTTGTAATTGTGATCCGTTGAGTGGACAGGAAAAGAAGAAAGGATGGAAAGCAAAAAATAAAATGAATTTGACAGTGGTTTATGAATTTGACAATTTTTGTTCATGGTGAAATCAGAGGATGGCAAAATGTTTAACTTATACTTCAAATAAACACGCAACACATTTTTCCTGAGACATCTCGACTGCTGCTCCTTCCGCTCCATCAGTTCTTTAACCACTCCCACCAAACACACGCACACTGGAGTGAAGAGGGGTCCCGTCCTGTGGCCGGGGTTTAGCTCAGAAGCTCATCTGAAACGAGGCACCCTCAGGACAGATAACCGGTAACTTATGCGTCGACGGCAAGGGGTTTTTGGGTTTTTTCCCCCTCTGGAATACGATACTATGGCCAGTTTCCAAGTGAAATGGTCGGAGCGGGAAGTTGGACGAGCGTGTCAGAGGCGAGAGGCAGGACTGAGCCAGGGCCCGCAACCTTCCCCTCTGCTGTGCGGCCTCCGGGCCCCGGGGCGGCCGAACACGCGCAGGCGCACTGACCCTGACTGCTAGCCTCGCGGCGAGGGGCGGGGTGGGGCGGGCAGGAGGGGGCCTCACCGCGCAGGCGGCCGCGTGCAGCTCCGCGATCTGCCGCTCCGCCGCCGTTAACTCTTCTCTCGCCGGGCGCCTCGCCGCCCCTTCCGGCCTGCACTGCGAGTGGCGCCCGGAGCCGCCGCGGTCTCCTTCGGAAGCGGAGCGCAGCGTTAAGCTGAAGTGTTGGCGGCACCCTGCTCCGACACAGAGTGGTTTTGGTGGCAGGGCGGCAGGAGGTTGCTTCGCGAGCGCGGCGCCCGCCAACGCCGAAATCTGCCTGGCCGCCATGGCCGCCGCGGGCCTGTGGGAGGCGGAGCGCCCAGCGCTGGGCCCGGCGGGTGGCGGAGGCGCCTGGGCGCGGCGCTTGGGCCCGGAGCTGCGCGCGTCCTGTTCAGCAGGAGCCGGGGCCTCGGGCCGCGTCGGAGGCGCGGGGCCGGTCGGTGAGGAGCGCACCGCCAGGGCCTTCCGCACCCGTCACTGCGCCCCTCCGCCGAAATGAAATGGACTTTAGGGTGGCTGGCGACCCAGAGAAATCCCTGTCGAAGCTGGGATTGCGCCATGGGAATGCAGGAACGGGAAAGACAGTGACATTTCCATATATGTGGGCCTGAATTCTAAAGCGATTCCATTTTTCTTCTGAGCTGAAGGGTGGATGTTTTTTCTCATCAAACTGGGCTTGAGATCATTCAGCATAACGGCCACAACTGTTAGGATGCCAGGAAATGATCAAAATACCCGAGGTGTATTAAAAACTAGCTCGGGCCTATCCAAAAAAAGACACTATTTTCAGGTAGGGTGTCCTAGGAATAAAGTTGGAAGTGGAGCCTCCTGACTGGGCTCTTGACCCAGCCTAAAAGGAAGACCAAAAGTAATACCACACACTGAATAAGACAAAAAAAAAAAAAAACCGCTGTTACCACGTTGTTAAATATTTGCAGAATCCAAACTAAAATCATTGTCTGAAAGATGAAAGTTCTCCTGATATTCCACAAAAATTGAATATAAGAAAATTACCATTAACTCAGGAGGTAATTTCAGATGTTAGAATTAACACACCCCCTTCTCTGGTTTTTGGAAAAGGAGGGGTGTAGCGTAGCAATTTTGTTAGTGTTCTTCAGTACTGTAAAGGGCAGGAATTCATCCCTGAGGGCAAGAGTAGACTTTTCATTTGTACAGAAGGGCGACATAAGCCGTCATAGAACTTCACCTTCTTTTTGGTATTTGTATTTACCATGCAACATGAATGTATTTTGATTTTTTTAGTAGAATACTTCCTGGAACGTAAACAGCTGATTGACAAAACCCTATGCGTCCATTATAAATCTCATGGTGAATTAACTGGGATTCCAGTATCTTGTTATTTAGTGCTGCTGTAACAGAAGTAATACAAGTGGATGGCTTTAACAAATTTATTCTCTCACAGTCTAGGAGGCTGGAAGTCTGAATTCAGGGCGCCAGCTCTACGGGAAGGCTTTCTCTATAGGGTATGGGGGAAGGTCCACTGTCATTAATCTTCCCCAAATCTAGGAGCTTCTCAGTACAGGGACCCAGGTCCAAAGGATGAGCTCCACTCCTGGTGCTTCTTTCTTGGTGGCATGAGGTCCCTCTCCTCTCTGCTCTATTCTCTGTTTTATATCTCAAAAGAGATTGACTCAAAATACAACCTAATCCTGTAGATTGAGCCCTGCCTCATTAACATAACTGCCTCTAATCCTGCCTCATTGACATAATAGAGATTAGAATTTACAACACATAGGATAATCACATCAGATCACAAAATGGTGGACAATCACCCAATACTGGGGATCATGGCCTAGCCAAGTGGATGCACATTTTCGGGGGACAGAATTCAATTCACAGCACCCAGTTTGCAAATCTGTTTCCTTTGTGTTGGAATAATAAATTTGCTATCAAAATCTGAAGACTGCTCTGTGATCTGAGAAGAGTTTAAACCCTGGAAGGCTAAGGAGAGACCCTAGGGAAAGCTATAGAATGCTGGAACCAAATTTAAAATCACCAAAAGTAAGCAACTATGAAAAAAAAAAAAAAAAAGAATTCACCATAAATAATTTTTTAAAATCAAGATATCAAATTAAGAAAATAGAGCTTCAGACTTATTGCAGTGTTTTTAAAAATTGAAGAGCACAACCACAATTCAAAAAATGGAACAGACTAGGCCAGATTCAAATAGAAAATGCATACAGCCATCTTATTAGGAAGCGTGAGTATTGTTACAGGAAACTTGTTGGGATGTATAGGGATGTGTGACCATAAAGGGATTGAAGAAGAGACGTCTTTGTGTTGATGAATAATTCTGTATCTTGATCTTGGTGGTAGTTATACAAATATACGCATAGAACTGTATACACACATTGTTCCAATGTAAAATTCCTGGATTTGACATTGTACCCAAACTATATAAAATGTAACAATTGGGAGAAATTGAGTGATGGTTATATGGAACCTCTCTATACCATCATTGCAACTTTTATAATCATATAAAATATAATTATTTCAAAATTTAAAAGATAGTAGTTTAAAAAATTGATGCAAAAATGATTTTCAGATCTGTGTTAAGACAGATCACTAAATTAACTAGAACTTTCCCTAAGGAGACCTGGTGGCACAGTGATTAAAGCAATTGACTGCTAACTGAAAGTTCAGGGGTTTGAAACCACCAGTGGCTCTGAGGGACTTCCATAGAGATTTACAGCTTTGCAAACCCTCTGGGGCCACTGTGAGTCACAATTGACTCAATGGCAGTGCATTTGGGGTTTTTTTGTTTTGTTTTGTTTTTTGTTTTTTTGATTTTCTTTCCCTATCCCCTCCATTCTCAGGTTTAAAAATCATCTTCGTTGGTGAAAGCCTGTTGACTTTTAGGCTAAGGAAGCTGTTTTGTACTATTCACGTGTTATCTATGTGTGCATTCTTACAGATTTTTTTTTTACAGTATAATCAAAGATGAAAATTTTTATAATTAAAAGAGATGAAGAGGTATCCTAATACTAGTAATTTCCAATTATGTGATAATTTCATAATTGACCTCCTTCTTCAATTTTCATTTGTTCTTCAATACTTTAGAGTCAGTGTCATTTCACATCAAGTAACTTTCATTCGTTGTGTCTCTTGTTTTAAAAAGCCTCCTCCTTATTCTAGTATGAGCTCATTTCTTCTCAGATTCTATTCACTATATTCATGTAGTGGACAAAACTACATGAAAGTTGGAGCACTAAGACCCTCCTTTAAATGATAGACTGTTAACTCCTCACCTTATTTACAAAGCACTTACATCTAGATTTGCTCTAGGAAGTACTGTTTGTGCGACATCTTTATATGTAGCATTGTATTGGATATATTTTATAGCTTTGCCTATCATTTGGGATGTTGATCTTGATATTGAAAATGCTTGTTATTTTGGGGGGTGAGGGCAAAGTTCAGAGAAATGTATTCCCGTAGGTTTCATTTCCACCACCTGTCCGTCGGTTTGTCATACTGTGGTGGCTTGTGTGTTGCTGTGATGCTGGAAGCTATGGCACCTGTATATCAAATGCCAGCAAGGTCTCCCATGGTGGACAGGTTTCAGTGGAGCTTCCAGACTAAGACAGACTAGGAAGAAGGACCTGGCAGTCTACTTCTGAAAAATTGGCCAGTGAGAACCTTATGAATAGTACTGGAACATTATTTCATATACTGCCAGAGATGAGCCCCTCAGGTTGGAAGGCACTCAAAATACGACTGGAGAGGAGCTGCTTCCTCAAAGTAGAGTCAGCCTTAATGGCACGATTCAAAATGAGAAGAAACAGCTGCAAACATCCACTAATAATCAGAACATGGAAGGTACGAAGTATGCATCTTGGAAAACTGGAAGTCATCAAAAATGAAGTCGGACACAGAGATCAATATCCTAGGCATTAGTGAGCTGAAATGGACTGGTATTAGCCATTTTTAATTGGACAATCAAATGGTCTACTATGTTAGAATAACAAATTGAAGAGGAGTGATGTCATATTCATTGTCAAAAAGAACATTTCAAGATCTATCCTGAAGTACGGTGCTGTCAGTGATAGGATAGTATCCATACAGCTACAAGGAAGACCACTTAATACAACTATTATTCAAATATACCCACCAACTACCAATGCCAAAGAAGAGGAATTTGAAGATTTTTACCAACTTCTGCAGTGTGAAATTGGTCAAACATGCAGTCAAGATACACTGATAATTACTGCTGATTGTATTGTCAAAGTTGGAAACGAAGAAGGATTGGTATTTGGAAAATATGGCCTTGGTGATAGAAACAATGCCGGAGATCATGTGATAGAATTTTGTAAGACCAATGACTTATTCATTGCAAAAACCTTTTTTCAACAACATAAATGGCGACTATACACATGGACCTCACAGGATGAAAAATGCAGGAATAAAATTCACTACAAATGTAGAAAGAGACAATGGAGAACCTCAATATCATCAGTCAGAACAAGGCCAGGGGCCAGCTGTGAAACAGACCATCAATTGCTCATATGCAAGCTCAAGTTGAAGATGAAGAAAATTAAAACAAGTCCACAAGAACCAACATATGACCTTGAGTGTATCCCACTTGAATTTAGACACCATCTCAAGAGTAGATTTGACACATGGAACACTAATGACTGAACACCAGATGAGTTGTGGAATGACATCAAGAACATCACACATGAAGAAAGCAAAAGGTCGTTAAAAAGACAGGAAAGAAAGAAAAGACCAAAATGGCTGTCAGAAGAGACTCTGAAACATGCTCTTGAAAGTAGAGCAGCTAACACAAATGGAAGAAATGATAAAAGCTGAACAAGAAGATTTCAAAGGGTGGCTCAAGATGACAAAGTAAAGTATTATGATGAAATGTGCAAAGACCTGGAGTTACAAAACCAAAAGAGAAGAACACACTCGGCATTTCTCAAGCTGAAAGAGCTGAAGAAAAAATTCAAGCCTCCAGTTACAATTTTGAAGGATTCTATGGGCAAAATATTGAACGATACAGGAAGCATCAAAAGAATATGGAAGGAATACACAGAGTCACTGTACCAAAAAGAATTGGTCAACATTCAGCCATTTCAGGAAGAAGCATATGATCAAGAACTGATGGTATTGAAGGAAGAAGTCCAAGCTTCACTGAAGGAATTGGCGAAAAACAAGCCTCCAGGAATTAAAGGAATACCAACTGAGATGTTTCTATAAACGGATGCAGCACTGGAGATGCTCACTCATCTATGCCAAGAAATTTGGAAGACAGCTACCTGGCCAACTGA